CTTTCCCTGTCACAAGGAAGCAGGCCTACTAGCTCATTTTGTCCAGTTCTTCAAATGGTTGAATTTGTCACCATGGAGTACTGTTTCCCAACAGAGTCATTCTACATTCCTTCTAGCAGCTGCCTTTCACAGTTCCTGCTGCAACTTGCCCCATTACTGACAACAGCCCAGGATTTTTCCTGGAAAATATGATTGAACATTAACCAATATAAGGAATGCAGCACCTGACCTGTTTTTCAGCATTATACTTTAGGCATTATACTATCTGTTCATGTGGGAAAAGCCCAAACCCTAGGCTAAGAGCTACTAAAAAAGAAAATCCAGTCCCTCATTAATATTGCATATTTGGACCCTACCCTTTAACATGCCAGTCTTCGTGGCACATTGCATTTGGAGCTTTCTCTGCTCAACATGTAGTTCCTGCCTGATAATTGAAAAATGAATTAATGTTCTTTTTAAGTCTGATAGTTACATTTTGAACTGTGGTCATAACATTCATGTTTGTTTCTTCCCCTCCTCCCACCACCCAATGTAAAGTTGCTGATACTACTCCATTCACTACTCAAGCGGAGGTTACCCTGAAGACAAACTTTTTTGGAACCAGGGATGTTTGCACAGAGTTGCTGCCTCTCATAAAACCTAATGGTAAGTGCTACATAACAGAGACAGGAATATCATTAAGAGTGAATCTATATTATTTCCATGGTCTTAAGAGTGATGCACAGAGGCATGTGCCTGCCTATCTCTGCACCACACCTAGAAATGAGGAAGTGAATCTACCCTGAGTAGTGCCCCCTTTCATTATGCCGAAGACAAGAGATCTTGAGAGTGGCAGCTGGCATCTTCATGGCCGCTTCACTGTCTCATTCTTCAACTTGGCATGTACAGAGCCAGATGGACAGGGTATATTTGCTGACAACACTCTTGAAACTATCCTAAAGCAGGAGTCATGGATCCAGCCCGTGGATATGGGGTATTGACAGCAATCATTTTCCTGTGCTGTTACGGGCAAAAGTGCTGGCAGGGGGTGCTCTTCCCATGTAGTCGCAGGTAAAAGCAGCAGCAGGGGCTTTCCTTGTGCCACCACAGAGAAAAGCAACAGCAGCTTTCACAGGGCCTGAGGCCAGTGGAATTTGGTAAAAATAAATAATCACTCTCTTACTACAAAAATAAATCATCAGAGTTTATTTTCGTTATCTTGAAACACCCCAGCTTTAAGCAGAGACTGAGATAAGTTGAATGGAAACTGATGATGGAGTCAAGACAGAGAGTAGTTGGGAGAGTTTATCATTTGATTTATGGTTTTACAAGCAATTTTACATTCTCTTAGCAGATAGGACAGAGGACAGATCCATTTATAAAATAATAGCATTTATTTCTGTCCTTTAAGGACCTGTTTCTCTCTGTATGTTAAGGAATGCTGCTGGGGAACGGAATCCAACACGCAGACAATGGAGGGGCTGGCTAAGGGATCTAGGATGTTATAAACTCAGTGGGTCTACCCTCTGTGCTAGGGCACAGGTTGTACTCTGTGGTTTTTGGGTCTGCACATCACTGCATGGATGCTGCTGTAGGCAAACCACATGACTTACATTGCATACAGATTCTCACTACCTGTGGGTAGGTTTATGAAAGACCTCTTTACTCACAGTCACGTAGAAGAGAGTACACACTTCCCTATCAGAACTCCTTGTTACAGGTTCAGTTATGCAGACTTTCAGAGCATAGGGCTTATTATTATAAATAACCTGAGGGCTTTGTCACATGTTACCTTAGAACTGGCATAAAAGCACTTAAAATGAGAGCATTCACCCATTAAAGCCACTCAAAAAACGGTTTATCTTGGAAGTGTTTTATCCATGTGATTCCAGAGTATTGTTTGAATGGTCAGGGGAGGTAAAACATTTTACTTTCATTCCTCCAGCATTCCAGGATGCACAGCTCCCAGCTGCTTTACTCATTTCTACCCTCCAAAAATCTAGTAGTCCCCCTGCCTCCATGCTTCTTGCTGGGAGCAACTCCTATGAGTGGCTTAATTGAAGAAAGACCATGAAGCTGGGGTCCATGGAGCATCAAGCATGCTTCTCCAGGTTCTCTGGTTTAGCAGAGCTGTAGTTTCATGCTGAAAGCAGGGGCCACTCACATCAGTTTCAGCATGACCAGAGGACACCTTTTTATATCATTTTCTTTTAATAGGCAGAGTGGTGAATGTATCTAGCATGGTAGCGGTTTCAGCTTTGGCAAAGTGCAACGAAGACCTGCAGCAGAAGTTTCGCAGTGATACAATCACTGAGGAAGAACTCGTGAAGCTCATGACCAAGTTTGTGGAGGATACAAAGAACGGAGTGCATGAGAAGGAGGGCTGGCCCAACACTGCTTATGGTGTGTCTAAAATTGGAGTCACCGTCTTGTCCAGAATTCATGCCAGGATGTTGAATGAGAAAAGGAAAGCTGACCAAATTCTGCTGAATGCCTGCTGCCCTGGCTGGGTAAGAACTGACATGGCTGGTCCAAATGCCACTAAAAGTCCCGATGAAGGAGCTGTGACTCCAGTCTATTTAGCACTTCTGCCTCCTGGTGCTGGTGAGCCTCATGGCCAACATGTTAGTGAAAAGAAAGTACGTACATGGTAAATTTGTTTTGATAATGCATTGTTTGGCCAGAGAGGCAGGTTAGAAACCATATTAAACATCACTGATTTACCTTTGGTACCAATAATGATGTGTAGTACCTATGTGACCTTTCTAATCCCAGTTAAGTTTTACAGATACATCCACATAACTGTTTCTATTATAAAATAATTACAGGCTGGAATAGAGCATGAATTAAGTTCTTTATAATTTACTGTAACGTATTGAAAAATGCGGAACACATTGAAATAAAAAGGGCAATCCAGTGTCTTTTCTTGGATTTATATTCACTTTTGTGGGTAGAGAGAGGTCTGGGGAGGTGCACCTGTTAATGATTCCACTCTGCTGCTGGAGAAAGTAGGCAGCCTCTGCTTTTTTGTTCTAAAAAGCAACTGTGTCAATTTGCAAATCATAAGGCAAAGGTGTTCTGTTTCAAGTGAGGCAACAAGGATGGATGACTTGATGAAGAGTAATGTTAAACTATTCCTGCAAACCACTAGATTCTCATCCTTGAGATGCCCAGGAGACACTGTATGCTGCTTAGCTGAATGTTTCCTAAATTCATCAGTATGTTCATATCTCTCCCTCTCTCTCGTCCTTGCTCCAAGTTTTCCTTTCTAGGCCTTTTTTATACAGGTTGAGTTGTATGAACTGAGTGTAACCCTAATTTCTGATTATTTAGGTTGGAAACTATTTGAGACAGGGACTCCTGACTGTAAACACACGGTGCTTAAAACAGTTGGCCCCAGCTTCAGGCTGGGGGGTCTGGATGCTATCATAATTCAAATAATTTAGTAGTAATAATAATACCAAATGCAAAACTAGTTCAAACTGCCTCCCAAGGGTATTCTGCAATTGTAGAAACACTGACCCTGTCTGATTTTAATTGTATGAGCATAAACAAAAGTGATGCCAACCTACCCTTTATTGCAGATTTTCTGCACTTAGCATATTATATCCATGTCCTACTTTTCTCAGGGACCAATATCAGAACATAGTTCTAGTCAGACAGCAGCAAGTTCATATTATCCTGAATACTTGCCCATAAGTATATAAATGAACATTATGGCACATCTCAGTATCCTGACAGTAGTCCACTTTTTCTTTGGTATTAAACTCTGTCTGCAATACTTGTATGCGCAGCAGTCAGTGTATACAGAATGCTGTTCGCATGCAAGCTGGCTGTTCATTTATACTCAGGAAATCACTGACTCTAATAATAAACACTATGATGGAAGAATGAAAAAGGTCTGTGTAGACCAATTTCCAAGTGCTGGCTGCCATCACACTGTAAAGCTAAATTAGACAGGAAGCTCCTTAGGACAAGCATTGTGCCCTCCTCTACCTTTCTACATTGTTTGGCAAAATGGAGCCCCCAATCCTGATTGAGGGTTTTGGTTGCAAATTGAAGTCACAATTCTAATATATCATCCATGTTCTTTGCTTCTCATCTGAAATGTATTGCACTATTAAGGGAGTTTTCTCATTCTCCTCTCCCCCATTGTAGACATTGTTTAAAGGCGCTTTAAAAAATTAGGCTGGACAGCTGTAAAAATGCAGTATGGTTTGCATCAAGTTAGTGATTAGGGGCCAGAGGCTGTTGGGGTGTTAGATAGCATTTGTCAGCACTGTCTCATCTGGTGAATCAGCATCTGATGACCTAAGCCCACTACTTACAAAAGCTTATACTATGTATCTCTGATTTAGTCTATAAGGTGCAAATCTACCCTACCTTCTGCCTGTCTTCTGGATCATTGTGGCCAATGGTAAACACCTTGCATTTGGCTTTTATACTACATAAAACATTCTGCATTAGCTAATGGTTGCAGGGATGATTATTAAAGAGTAGTAGTAGTATTATTGTTGTTAATATTATTATTACATAATAATACAAAAACCCTTCCAGCTTCTTTTCTTCAAACTTCCTAAGGATGTTGCAAGTCTTATGCTGAATTTTCTGTATACTCGTAGTCCCAGTGAAGTTTGATTTGGAGGGAATGAAAGATCTGGGGCATATGTTAGAAAAATCTCATGGCCAAAACTCTTGGCTGTATTTGCTTTTTTTTTTTTTTATTTCACTGGTACCACAACAGTGGCCTTCAAAAGTATAACTCACTGCAATAACATGTGTCTAATCCTACATGTTTATCTGGTAGAAATGTAGGAGTTGTCCCATGCCCCTCCCTATGCATGTTCTTAACAGCTAGGCTGTGAGCTGAGGCTACTATATATATTATTATTATTATTATAATGCTATATATTATATATATTGCCAGCATGCATGAGAAACAGATGTTGCCTCTTTGATTTGCAAAACTCATCAGCATTTCATTGCAAATATAAGTGAAGCTATCCATTTCTATTAATGATTGCCTTGCAAGCTCAGGCGATTGGACTCTGGCCCAGGAGGTCCCTTCTGGTCCCAAGTAACATGTTTTTCATTCACCCTCCTACTATCACATATAAAGATTGTAACTGGCTTTGTAAACTAGTAGGGGAAAATGCTGAGTCATGATGAGCAAGGCAGGCTAAGGCTTTTTCACCCCTTCCAGGTTTTCTATTCATTTGGGAGGGAAGCTTGTTCATTTGCAATCCCTTTTGAAATTTCTCCCTGTAGGAATTAAACAATATTGCTGGCTTGTTTCAATGCTAATTCATTTCTCCTTCCTGTTAGCCTTTGTCCCACATATGGATCTTTGGAATCTGAAGGAGTTGGCTGTTATTACCATATTTACTCAAATCCAAGATGAGATTTTGTCCCAAATCACTGAGTGGAGGGGGAAGTTTTGTCTTATTCAAGCACTGGTCCAGGGCCAGCAATTGCTCTGACTCTAGGATGAAAGCCAGAGCTCAGCTGCAACCTGTCCTGGGCCAGAGTGGCTTCTGCGGCAGAGGAGGGGGTGGGTGTACAGCAGGGAGAGCATGAAGGAGACCCCATAGTGGAGATGGGAGGCACACAGGGAGAACTGCAGTGTGTAGCTTAGGGAAGAGCATAGGGAAGACCATGCAGTCCCCTCTGCTAGCCAGGCCTGGAGCTGCCACTACTGCTTTTGTCTGGCCATGCTGGAGTTGGGGCTGCTGCCACTGAGTTCCCCAGACCCACACAGAAGGTAAGCGGGTTGGGACAAGTGCCTGGGGGGGAGGGAAACAGATGGCAGGGAATGGGAGGGACAGACACAGAAGGAAGTCATAAGCTTGGGGGGCCCAAGGAGAAGAGGGGCACTGTTGGGACAGGCACAGGGAGTCAACCGGAGGGAGCAGGCATAGGCATGGGGGAGAAAGGGGTGGCAGATGGCAGGGAGATTGGCTGTGCACCCCCTGGAAGCCCCAGCTGTGAAACTGGAAGTGGTAGCAGGAAGTGCTCTTCTGGTTTTGCCACTGGTGGTTCCAGGCTCGATGATCGGCCACTGGGGATTCCCCCCATTGGCGATTTGGTGCTCCCCCAAACTCGGGAGGCACCAGTCACCCATGCAGCAAGGGAAGTTTAGGTTAGGTATTAGGAAGAATTTTCTCACTAGGAGGGTAGTAAAACACTGGAACAGGTTACCCAGAGAGGTTGTGGACTCTCCATCCTTGGAGGTTTTTAAGACCTGGCTAGACAAAGCTTTGGCTGGGATGATCTAGTTGGGGGTAATCCTGCTTTGAGTAGGGGATTGAACTAGATGACATCCTGAGATCCCTTGCAACCCACATTTTCTATGAAACAGAACACTGACAAAGATCAGTAAAGCCCCATCAAGCAAATGCGTGAAAGAAAAATCAAAAAGTATCTTCTTCTAGGGGAGCAAACATTTCTGAAGCACCCTAAATAAGCATGCCTTTTCTCCACGAAGTAATCATGAAATGAAAATTCCACACTTATCCTAAGACCAGTCCATTGCTGATCTAACTACACAGTATGTCTTGTTAGCTACAAATGTCCAACTCGGGATCCTTAAAATTCTGGTTTATTAGGAGGATTGAAGCACTGTAATGAAGTTAAATCATAAACCTTGGGGCTGGTCCACACACACACACACAGTAGCAAGCTACAAGAGTCAGGTATACCTATCCCACAGGCGCTGGAGTCTGCCATCGATGGCCAGTCAAAGCTTCTTCCAGTGTGGTGTTATCCTCCAGAAGGGGGTTGCCGGCTGGTCCTTCTGGCTGGACAGAGCAGGTGCTGGTCAAGTTGGAGATCAAGAGGGCACCGCTGAGTGTCACTTTTCATTGCTTTTATCTGTCCTTGGCAGACTTTGGTGACTCCCCAGTTTTCAGGTTTGCCCAATCCAGGGGTCGTTGACCCTCATGGGACTTCTCCCTCGGTGGCTACTGGATGGCATCTGTCAGCCCCAGGGGTCATCCGCGTGTACATGCAGGTTTGGGAATCCGTTGATGAATTTTGAATAGGGCTCTGGGAGCGGTCGATCTGGAGATATTCAGCCCAAAAGGTCCCTAGCGTTGATTAACTCAGACCAGGGCTTCTAGCCCTTGAACAGTGAGGTTTAGAGATTTCCCAGTTGCTACATTGTCTCCTATTGATTTCTTCCCTTGGTGGATCTGCGGCTTTCCTAAGTATTAATTGCTGCCTGCTACTGTGTTACGCGTTCAATCACTGATTCACTGCTCTTTCAGGGACCAGCCTGATACAAGGAAGGGCAGTTTGATTTCTGCCTTTGTTAACATTGTTACAATGTATAGCTTACTTCTGAAACTAAACACATTTAGTTGAAAGGTGAGGAGTATAAAAATATAAGCTACAAAAGTCATGCCATGGCACACAAATAGATAAAAATACCAAAATACAAGGGGAGATACAAAATACACACATACGAATTTTAAAACACAATTCCTTATCTTAAAGTGAAAGAAAGAGGAAGGAAGAAAAGGTAGAAGAGGAAAAACATATCCAAGGAGGGGAGAGCAACTGCAGGCAAGAGGAAAAAGGGGCTTTCTACTACAGTCTCAGGTACATGGTTATGTTTATGGTATTATATATACTACATCATTCAGTGCCTAAGAAGTTTCTGGCCTTTGGTAAAGGAAAGCCTAGGTCCCCAATTAATTCAAGAATGTGCTAGGGGGCTTAAACATCCAGTCAGAAAGCAATTATTTCATAGTAAAATCTCTCTTATTCAGTTCCTGAGGCTCACTGCTTAGGAATAACTTTTGTGTGTAGAACAATATAAGTACTGTCTGGATATAAAAGACAACTGTAGTGTTGGATCAATACAAGCACAGGCATGCTCTCTCACACAGGAATAGTCATCGTGCTTCTCTGTCCTACAATCAAG